TTAGCCACGGCTGGAGCTGGAGCATCTGGGACACAGGGCACTATGTCCTAAGGCTGCACACAACAGAGGGGACCCTGGGCCTGGCCCATAAAACCATTTTCCCTCCTAAGCCTCTGAGCCTGTGATGAGAGGGGCTACTACGAAGCTCTCTGACATTCCCTGGAGACATTTTCCCCATTGTCTTGGTGATGACCATTTGGCTCCTCGTGACTTTCGCAAATTTCTGCAGTCACCTTGAATTTCTTTTTGGAAAATGGGTTTTTCTTTTCTACTGCATGGTCAGGCTGCAAATTTTCCAAACTTTTATGCTTTTCCTCCCTTTTAAACATAAGTTCCAATTTCAGATCATCTCTCTCAAGTTCAAAGTTCCACAGATCTCTAGGGCAGGGGCAAAATACTGCCAGTCTTTTTGCTAAAGCATAGCAAGAGTCACTGTTATTCTATTTACCAACATGTTCCTCATCTCCATCTGAGACCACCTCAGCCTGGACTTCATTGTCCATATCACTATCAGCATTTTGGTCAAAACAATTCAACAAGTCTCTAGAAGTTCCAAATTTTCCCACATCTTCCTGTCTTCTTCCAAGCCCTCCAAACTGTCCCAACCCCTGCGCATTACGCAGTTCCAAAATCACTTCCACATTTTCAGGTTATCTTTATAACAGTGCCTCACTCTACTGGTACCAATTTCCTGTATTAGTTCATTTTCACACTGCTATAAAGAAGTACCCAAGACTAGGTAATTTATAAAGGAAAGAAGTTTAATTGTTGCACAGTTCCACATGACTGGGGAGGCCGTAGGAAACATGATTATGACAGAAGATGAAGGAGAAACAAGCACCTTCTTCACAAGGTGGCAGGAGAGAGAAGAGGAAAGAAGAAATTTCCAAACCCTTATAAAACCATCGGATTTTCTGAGAACTCACTATCATGAGAACAGCATGGAGGAAACTGCCCCCATGATCCAATCACCTCCCTTTCTCAACCTGTGGGGATTACAATTCAAGTTGAGATTTGGGGCTGGGACACAGCTAAACCATATCACTTAGCCTATCATCACCTTGAATATTTATTATTTCTTTGTGCTGTGAACATTAAAAGTCAGCTTTTCTACCAAAGTAAACATTTTTAACCACTTCTTTCATGTATTTTCTGAGGATGGTAGTTGGGAGTAATGTGAGCTTTTTACAGGCAGCAAACCCCAAAGACAGGGTTCCAAAATTCTGAATAATGAAGATTTGATGTCACTCATCCGAAGGTGAATGAAGCTGTTTTTCTGGTCAGCATCAGCCCCCTTGCAAACATCCCACAGGTACAGATGTTAAACCCCATGCCCTGTGCTCAGCCAGATGTGGTGGGCAGAAGAGACTCCTAGTATTAGAAGTAGAATCCAGTGAGAGACCATGGCTGTGCACTGATGAACTACTTAGCCAACTCTCTCTCTGCTGGCGTGCCGTGGCCTTTCAACTCAGATGGATTAAATTTTTGGCAAGATGTACTTCTCAGCCTCTTGTGTTTCTTAATTCAGTAGACTATTTCACAAGCTTAAGAGTTAAAGGCATAATCAACATGTCTCAAAATCAATTCCCTCCTTCAGAGGCTACTGACTGGTTTGTTTACTTTTGGATTTTGTGGATTAAGCACCATTGCAAATAGTTCTTTGAGGGTTTTTTTCCCCATCCTGTGCTTTTCTCTCTCTCCCTATCCTTCTAATTCTTCCACCATATCATCAAATGTATGCCTTTTCTGTTCCTTCTTGTTATGACCTTTATTCCTGGGGGTCTCTGAGAGCTAGTGTTGAGTGACTTTGTGGGTGCCATCTCATAACCCAGATCCCTGCACAGAGTGGATTTCCTCATGGCCTCTGGAGTGGAGACGTGCTGGAAATGCTAAGCATATCATGCGAGTATTTGACTGGGCTTCCCATGAACATACTTCAAACCAGTAGTCCCTGAGCTCTTGTGGTTCACGCTGGTATTCAGGCCTGAATACAGATCAGACCTCCATGTTCTTCAAGAGGTGTCAGCATTCATGAAAGTTGAATATGAGTGAGCCACTCTTATTTTTGTAATTTCATTTAAATAATATAATTTATTATCATAAATTTACATGTTACTCTACTGCAAATTAAGCCATACCAGGCTTAGCTCCAAGCACAAAGTATACCCCTTGTGAATATTATTCTTTTCATAGAGACTCTTAGGAAGGACATAGATTATATTTAAATATTTTAAGAAGTCATTTATTTTCAGAGAATTCAGGGACTTAACCATTGTGATTATTTGTCCAGTCTTCCCTAAGTCTGACAAAGCAGACAATGTCGGGCTAGATGGGATAGTGTGATTCATTTATTTATTCATCATATTTATATTGAGTACCTCTGTGTTCCAGACCCTGCTGCATGTTAGAGTCGAGGGAGAGTGGAGATGGACTCAGGCCATGCCTAAACTATAGATTATGTCACTTGACTCCACAGCAGAGTCCAGGTGTTCAGAAGTAAACCCACTTAGCAATGGACACAGGGGGAAATGTCTTTTCCCAGAGTGACTGGTTTGACACTGAGGAGAGATTTATGACTGAAACACAACAGGGCCTGTGGACATTCTGGCTACTCTGGGATCTCCTGCCTTGGGGCCGCCTGCCTGAAGCCATATCTGCCCTCTTTCTTAGGACTGGAGGTTCCTGCAGGTGCCACCACCCAGAGAGCCACCAGAGGGTGCTTTTCTCTTCTCAGGTTATGACTTTTTGAAATGCAGCTCCTCATACTTCTTAAAACTGAGCGTCCCTGGCCCTGGAAAGTTCGGTACATTCCACTGCAAGCTGACAGATTTGATTCTAGGCGAGAGAAAGGCATGAATTAGTGTGTGTCTGTTTCTGTGTTTATTTGTCAAATGTCTGTCTCCAGTGACTGTACTCTGAAGAAGAGGTCTTGTCTTGGTGCTCCTCTCTCTTTCCTGGGACTGACTTCAAGTCTGGCACATGAAGGGCCCTTTGTAAATATTGGTGAGTTTAAAGAACAAATTTTGCTGCATGTCCTAGCTCGGAGGTTTTCAAGTGTTCTGCCCATCAGAATCATCCCGGGTCAACTCGCCCTCAGATTCTTAGTAAGTCTGGGGCGGGGCTGGGAATGTGATTCTGGGAAGCCCTCTTGTTCTAACTTGAGGACTGCTGCCCAGCTGTTCCTGCCCTGCACACGGCTGCTTGAGTGTGAGAAACACATCCCTGCTTCCTGGGCCTGCCACCGCGAGCCCTTCAATGTGATCCAGAGAGACTTCCCACCCTCCCCTTCGTGTTCCTCTTCTCATGAACATCTCTTCCCATCACCCAGTCCTAGAGGGGGAGGGAGATGTACCCAGAGATGCCTTTACCTGCTGGTCCTGAGAGGGTACCTGGGAGGACACCTGCAACATAACCAGGTCTTGGTTCCCCCCGCCCCTCCACAGGGTCGACCTCTTTTGCAGGCTGGTACTTAGGGTGCCACCTGCTTCAGCGACACTTAAACAAATACTTAAATGAGCACAGATGCTAGAAACCACTCTGAAATTGAGGAGGGCCTGTCTCATACAACAGACTTATAATATTGCCTCCTGAGAAACCTGTTTTTCAGTCTTTTGCAAAGAAGATGCATGTGCATCGTGATGACTTTGGTAGAGAATAACTTTTGACCAAGAGGAGTCCTTTTGTTCTGTGGTTCGGCCTTGCTGGAGCGGTGTCAGTTGTATGAAGACCTTGCACAAACCTGAGCTAGTGTGCACTTCATGGGGTGTGTCTGTGGACACATTAGTCACCCTCTTTGAGTCTTACTTTTTTTCACCAGACTGGAGAATGATGTCCACTTCACAGGGTTATATGCAGACTTGCTTTAGTTAGATGTAAAATTGTCAGTTTATATTCAATGGCAATATAAGAAATAGCTTTTGAAATGTGTATTTGAAACTCTATTTGCGGATGTTGTAGAGGGAGCTGTTTTGTCCATCATGTATGGTTCCTCTCCACTGGAGAAATGCTTATTTGGCCTTTGTACTAGGAATAGTTTCACATCTCTTGCTGTGCTTTAATCTTATGGACTTGCTGATTTGCATAACTGACTGGTTTTCTTTCTTTGAACTAGCTGCTAGAAAGCCTAGAGCCAAGTGTGTGGTTCATCAGTATCAAGTGTGCATGTCATTGTGTTATACGTTTTTGGCCTCATACATGGCACCGTTTACACTGTTGCAATTTTAAAAAATTACTCTCACTTTTTATTTATTATATTTTTGTAGTTACGTATTTCTCTAAGCTGCTTTTTATGTTTCTGAAATGAGACAGGATAAAAGAAAAAATAAATTTGTTACCGAATAAATGAGCAAATACATTTAAATCAGCTTTCCCAGTGCCTGGCCAATAGTAAATATATAACATAGAGGTTCATTGTAATCTTCCTTGTAACTGAGTCTAATTATCCTTTATGGATCCCAGTTAGACTCTCATGGATTATGTTACGTGGTAAAGTGATTCTCACAAGAAAAGGTTTCCCAACCTGGAAAGGTGTTACTGCATTAGGACATAGCAGGAATAACTCTAAAACAAGCTGAGAGCCCAAATGGCCCAATCTCTGCCTGGAATTTCCTATAAATGTGCCCAGCCTAAACCAAATATAATTTAAGTGATTTTAATCTTTACACAAGCCTCTCAAAGCACATTAAAGGAGTACTTGTTCTTCTCTGCCAGCCACACATCATAAAGCCTTCTTCTTCTCCTTTATAATTCTTTATCAATCACTACTTCCCAATGTGTTTACTGACATCCCCTCTTGTGCCCGGCATCTCCCAGCTCTTTATTATGTAGACTGACCTAGCTTCTCTGGTTAGTCTCCCTGTTTTCTCACACCTCTCTGGACTTCTTATCCATTCTCTGATTCTGTATCATAAAAGATTTATGAACTGGGCTGACAAAGATAATTCTACTTGTGGGTGGATTGGGGAATTTTCACATGCTAATAAATCTTCTCTGTCATCTAGGAAACAAAGGGTAATGAATGCTGCGTGGTAGAAGAGGAGAGAACTCTGGCATGTGGCTTTACGTCAGGAGGACACACTTGAGCTTTGGGATTTGGAAGAGGCATGTTGGGGCAAAGATGACAGAGCTTTGTTCTTCTGGTCCTGCCTCTGTCCAGGCTTCCCTTGCCCCAGAATAGGTGACTTCATGGCAAAGGTAACACAGATGGGGGAGTCATGATGCCTTTGTATTGAGTAGGGCTGAAGATATTGGTGCAGAGTTAAGGGATAATGACAGGGAGCGAATGATCAATCCTACTCTTGCCTTCCTGTGGACTGTGTGGGAATGGCCACTCAGACTTGTCCTCCCTCCGAATGGAGGAAGGAGGAAAGAAATAGTCTCAGATTCATTGGACACAATTTCCTGATTGAAAATGGAAGTATCCATATGCTAGTTGTTTTTTTTTGCTTTGAGAAATCCAGTAAATATTAGGTTGGTGCAAAGGTAATTACTTTTAATGGCAAAAACTGCAATTACATTTGCACCAACCTAATAGTATGTCAATTTATTGCAATCCTATATGCTTATGTGTTACATCAACTTTAGGATCCCTGATCAAGTCTTTGGTGTAAGGATCACACTTGAGGCTGGGCATGGTGGCTCATGCCTGTAATCCCAGCACTTTGGAAGACCAAGGTGGGCAGATCACTTGAGGCTAGGAGTTTGAGACCAGTCTGACCAACATGATCAAACCCCATCTCTACTGAAAATAAAAAAAAATTAGCTGGGCATTGTGGGTCACACCTGTAATCCCGGCTGCTTGGGATGCTGAGGCAGGAGAGTTGTTTGAACCCAGGAAGCGGAGGTTGCAGTAAGCCAAGTTGGCGCCACTGCACTCCAGCCTGGGTAACAGAGTGAGTGAGACAACATCTCAAAAAATAAAAATAAAAAGGATCACACTTGAATAGAAACAGAACCAGAGACAGACCAAGTCAGAAGATTGAGCCACAAAATTATTGATTCAGAACCACAGGATTAATGGATACACTCATTTTCTGGCCAGATGTGGTGGCTCATGCCTGTAATCCCAGCACTTTTTGAGGCTGGGGCAGGAGGTTCATTTGAGGACAGGTGTTCAAGACCAGCCTGTACAACACAGCAAGACCTTGTCTCTGCCAAAAACATAAAAATTGGCTGGGCATGGTAGTACATATCTGTAGTCCTAGCTACTCAGGAGGCTAAGGTGGGAGGATTGCTTGAGCTCAGAAGGTTGAGGCTGAAGAAAGCCATGACTGTATCAATGCCCTCCAGCCTGGGCAACAGATTGAGACCCCGTCTCTAAAAAATAAATAATTAAAAAATAAAAAATTAGACAGGTGTGGTGCCTGTCTACAAGGTGCCTGTAGTCCCAGCTACCTGGGGGACTGAAGTAGGAGGATCTCTGTAGCCCAAGAGTTTGAGGCTGCAGTGAGCTATGATTGTACCGCTGCACACCAGCCAGAGTGACAGAGTGAGAGCCTAATTCTAAACCCCCCACCCCAAAATCACTTTGAATTGAATGGATGGGTTTTGTCTTCTCATTTTAGATCTTGTTCTTTTCTTCACTGAATATTTGTTGAGTGCCTATTATTTGCCAGTTCTGCTAAGTGCTGAGGACATTGAGATGATAAGGCACTGACCCTTTCCTTCTAGGAGCTACCACGTAGATAGTAAGGGAAACAGACATGTGAAAAAGAATAATTAGATTACAACATGTTCCATGCCACCATTGAGGTATGAAGAGAATGCAGTGGGATCCAGAAGCTGGAGTGACTAACTTGTCCTAGGAAAGTCAGGGAGGCGGGAACCCTGGGGCTGGGATTTAAGCATAAGGAGTTTGCTCATTTCCCGAAGTTTTGTTTCCCAGATTTTAGTTTGATCACACTACCTCATAAATATTAGAAAACATCTTCTGGCCAAATATGGTCTCAGCATTTGGTCTTTTGGTTCTGCAATTAGTGACAGACCATAGTAGCATCTCTGGAATGTTCTTCTGAGCCGAAGAATTTAAAAGATGTCATACATAATCAGAGACAAACTGCATCCTTGAGGCTTAGCAGATAAATGCTCCAATTTGTTAAGGAGTTTTATGGGAGACTTTCACTTCAGCCACCCAGTATTTACTTCCTGTGGCAATAACGCCATGTAAAATAAATTATGAATGGAAAGATGATCATTCTGAAATGGGAATATAGAAGTTCCAGGTCTGGGCCAAATGGATAGAAGCTGCTGTCACTTGGTGTTGGGAATGATTTGGACTCTGCACACACAGTTGAGATTCCCTTCAAGGTTATTAGACTACCTTAGACCAGAGTTTTGGCTCGATGGTTATGTCACCATCACCAGCGGGAAGGGCAGCATGGTGGCACTGTCTCTCAGTGACCTTCCTGAGCCCTCCAATGCCATTTCTTTTCATTTTTAAAGAAATAAAGTCGGATTTAGAGCTTTGTATTTCTTTCTTAGTGTTTGTTATAAAAGTGACCATTAAATACAAGGTTTTAGTGACTAAAACAGTTGGAGGCTACAGTCGGGCTGACAGCTTTAGTGGAGAGTTTATGTTCTTTTTTTTTCCCTCCCGCCTGGCTTCAGCTTTAAATTAGATTGTAATAATCATAACAAAGCTTCTCCCTGCCCTTAGTTGAAAGCACATTGCAGAACTGAACTCTTTCTGAGACTTTATTTACAACAGAATCCCACACCATTTTAGAGCTTTCATCTTCCATGTGCTCAGCATTTTATGGGTCTTGGTTTTCTATAGCATTTCTGAAACCATGGTTCAAAACAATGTGGATTCTTTCAGGCACCAGAAAGATCTAGGAAGAGTGTGTCCCCTCGCCTCATTGTTTGCATAGATGTGTTGACACTGTCATTGTGTTAACAGTGGAATACACAGTAAAGTGGGTTAGTTAAGGCTTTAATTAACTTTAACTAATATTGCTTTAGAGTCATGTTTTCTGGGTATATTCACAACTTAGGTACTTACTAGCTGTGTGACCTTAGATACCTTAGCAAACATTTCTTCCTAGTTGTCAAGAGAGAACAATGGTAGCACTTACCTCCAAGAGTGGTTGTGAGGATTAAACGAGTTAGAATACTTTCAGCACTTGGAACAATTCTTTACAGCAGTAAGTGCTTAACAAATGTGAGTTGCTGGTATTATCCCAGAAGCTCATGAAGTTACATGACATAACTGATGAAACTGGATGGTCAAGTAGTCATAAAATAATCCCACTTTACTTGGTCTGCGTGTTTGTGCTTGGTAATGGTATGGTAAGAAGATTTTAAAAGCTAGACAACCAGTCAATTGGTAGCTACATTGAATTAAAATTTCCTGGAGACAGCAGGAGGCAGTATAGTTTAGCTGTTAAGAGCATTGGGTTTGGAGTCAGAAAGCCTAGTCCAACAGTAGTTCTGCTACCTACATGGCCTCTTGGTGGCTCAGTTCCCTCATCTGTAAAATGGAGCTAATTCCTTACAAGACCATTTGCAACAACAATGTATGCGAATGTCTGGAGCACATATTAAATACTCAAAAAAAGTTGTTACAGGTGAGGTGAGGAGGGAGGGGAGGAGGGATGGGAGGAGAGATTGATTTAAGGTCAGTTCTGTTTATTTATCATCAGTTCCCTGGTAACAAGCAACGGAGATGCAAGTTTGCTCAGAGCAGTCAGCATCCAGCTGTGAAAAGGAAACATTCAGGCCCTTTTAACTTTAAGAATGTTGAAAGAAATTACAAAACCATGAAGGACAAATGGCAAAGTTGCTGCTGTCAGTATTATAAACATCAGTGTGAGTGTGGACAGTTTAGCTCAGATGAGTCATTCTGGGTTTGTCTTGTCTTGTCTGGAAGCTTCACTTGCATAAGATGGGGTGCCACTGGCAGAGGAAAGAAGAGAGTTAAGGACCCAGTCTGTCTTCTTACTGCTGGAAATAGTGTTAGTGGCTGGGCTGTCCAGGGGTTTATTCACTGTTACAAGGTTCTCAAACTTTAGAGGGTATAAAACTCAAGTGAGAACTTGTTAAAAGGGCACCTTCCAAAGCGTCATTCATAAACATTTCAATTCAGCAGGTTATTGGTAGGGCCCAGGAAATCTGCTTGTTTTTGGGCTCTCTAGGTGCTTCCAACACAGGTGCTGAGAATCTACACTTTGAGAAAGACAATTCCAGTGAGATTGGGCAGAGTAAAATTCCTGTGTAGAAGGAGCTGCCCTATCCACTAGCCTTTGCCCCAGCATTACAACCCAGAAAATGAAACAAAAAAGCCAATTTTGTTTTATTTTGAGTCAAAGCACTACTTAATAAACTGTGTCAATTGTTTCTCACAACACTGCATGAGAGACTTAATTCCATTTGACATTAGAGGAGTCAGGGACACTAGAAAGATTTACTTGGGGGTACAGTGTAGTTTTTCGTGCAAGCATGAATTATAGGCAAACATTGCACAGGTTTTTCAGTTTGTCCCCAGCCATCTGGGTATTGCTAAACACATCTGTTTCTTCTCCTGGAGAGGATGCTCCAGTGTTGTCACATGATTTAAATTATGTCAAAGGGGGGGAGTTCCGTTTGTCCACTTCCCTGGTTTGCAGGGATGGCTCCGGGGAGCCTTGGTTTGCTATGATTGGCATTCATCCAGAGCTTGGGCATTTAACTCTGAATTTTGATTTGGGCATTTGCCTGGCATGATATTCTGCCAGGGCCTTCCCAGTCTGTTCGCTGCTGTTTTGCTCCTGAAGATTTATGGCTAATGAAGGGATAAAGAAAGGTCGCAGCAAGAGGCGGCAGCATGTGGTGGTGACTCATGGTCTGGGCCTGGTGTGGAGCCAGTTTGGGTGGAACGCTCGACTGGCTGCTGTGCCTGTTTTCACGTGGCTCTTTGCCACAGCCTTGCAGGAGGCAATTTCTTGCCTGTCTGTGGTCAGAGAGGCCTGGTGATTCTGCCTGTCCCCTGCTGTTATGGACTCAGGTCAGGGAAATGAAGCCTGGTGGCCTTTTGACAAAGAATCTCACAACTGGGGGCTCAGGAGACAGTGGGATGGGCCAGTCCTGGGAAGGGTCAGGTTTAGAGACCCTCCTTCCCTGCAAAGGCACCCCAGCTTGGGGGACACATTAGCAGCATGGGCCAAAGGAAGTCAAATGAAGCTACTAGCAGGACAGGGCTTCTCAGCCTCAGCACTGTTGACATT